CCGACCTCATACGTCATCCGCCCGGAACTGCTTCCGTTTACAACAGTGAGCGCAAGCTAGATTAAAGTGATTATTACGTTTTGAATATGGATATTTTTCTTACAAAAACGCATCGATTCGCTACAGGAGGCCTGGATTCGTCTAAAAGAAGAAAGTCATATACACCTAGGATGGCTCTGGGGTGAGTAAAACACAGCCTAATTTTCATTTTTGGGTGAACTAACCCTTTAATAATAAATGTTCCTTATGCACCGAATCAGCATATTAGAATGATTTCTGAAGGATCAAGCAACACAAAAACTGTATTTACAAATTCAGCATTGCCATCACAAGAATAAATTATATTATACAAATTTTAAAATAGAAAACAGTTACGTTTTCATTTAATAATATTTCACAATATTGCTGTTTTGACAGTATTTTTGATCAAATGCAGCCTTGGTGATCATATGAGATCCATAAAATCTTACAGACCCCAAACTTTTGAACAGTAATGTACATTAAAGGACATAAATTACACGCTCTTTTCTAGCGATTTTACTTATCATATACTGAATAATGTGTCTTTTTCGCCTATAGACACGCAGATCCATAGAGAAGTTATTGGAGTGGGAAAACAGCAGATTGTATCACAAGGTATTTTCAAGGTTGCTTGCTTGTTTGCTGTTTGTATTTTCCTGTCTGGTGCTAATTTTACTACATGCCCATTGCCCTCTGTTCATTTAGTTGTGTTTGCATTGGAGGCTCAGCAAAAGGAAGTGTGACACGAACAACATGATGGAATATGTAAGCCAACTACAAACACACTCTAATCTAATTGCACAGTGACTGTTTCAAATACAATAAACCGTGAAATGCGTAATTTCACATTCTCTGTCCTTTTTCTAGGTAATCCTAATAGAGTTTCTACCCAAGATTCCCATCTTCAGGCCGGATTAGCAGTGGCGGGCTGGAGCTCATCCCACCGGCGTGGTCTTCCTGAGGTGCCTTTCTCCGGTACTGTCATGGTCTTATCATGTGGCCTCGTCCTTTTTCCCTCCACACTCTGAGCAAGAGACTCACCTCACGTCCGAGCGCCACTCACAGCACTCCTCACGAGAAAGCACTGTTTACAACACACACATACATACGCACAGACCGTTTTGGTTTCGCAAGCGCATGAATACACACAGAGAGACCTTTACTGTCACATGACTACACGAAGTCTGCGGGGAGGCCACGGGAAGTAACTTCTGAAGCTCCAAACTGGAACGTCTACTATACGTTAATCAGATCACACAGACTGCGCAGTGTGCACTAGCTAAGTGACGTCCTGTTGCCGACACTGTGGAACGGATCAGTGCAGAATGGCTTGAAGAAGCGACAACTGTAGAATTAAACTCTTTTATTGTATTAATTAAAAAAAGATGGATGTTAGGAATGATTAATACGGATTTTCAGTTAGCTGAGAGCCAAATGGACACGGTCAATGCACAATACATAGTTCCCCATCTCTCCTTCTCACAAATGATCATCTATATACAAAGACAATCAAACACTGACTGTGCCACGCACCATCTAGACTCTGACAGGACTTTGGAGTCTAGTTGAAGTCACGGACCTGATGTGGTCCAGGTGCACCTATTGGTAGTGATGCAGCACAGGTTAGATTTGTTTTGCTGTTTTTGAGTATTTTTTTTATCCTTGTTTACTTGCTCAGTTTAAAAAGAAGAGCAGCAAATGTTTGTTTCTTGATTTGTGTGTGTGTGGGTGATTATTTCTGTCTGTCCCCGAGATATTTTGTTTGTCATTTGGTTCACAAGTGAGACAAATCAACTTATAGGTTTGTTTGGTTAAAGTTAAACAGTTCATTAAAACAAATTATTGGGGGTCAAACAAAATAAAATAAAAAAGTTCTGTTCTTTTGTTCGTTTGTTTTTTATATATATGAACCCACAAATATTGGCGTTTCTCCAGGACAGAAATACTTTTTATTTAAAGGGGTCTAAACAAAATCAAGTCTTTGTAAAAGAGCATAATAGGACCCCTTTAATATTTTTTTGTTTTTTTCATCATTGATTCAATCCTGGGTCAGGTGTTCTATGCAGGCATTTTCTCTTAGTGGACTATATTTGTGTAAATGTATCCAATTGTAGGTTAATAAAACAGTTACATCCCAATACTCTTAAGACAATTGGTCCTATTAGACCTCAAAACTTGCAATTTATGAAGCGTGTATGTGTGTGTGATTACCAATATTATTACTGAAATTACAATTCTTTCTCTCTCGTCTGATGTCATCCCAAATCCCAGGGACATCGTTTTTATTTTTCAAAAAATAATTTCAGTGTATTTATGTACAATGTGTGTACAGAAATAAAATATGCCCAACTTGATTTTTGTTTCTTTTTTTTCCCCATTCACTTATGATTGTTGTATGCCTACTGTATATTGTGATGTCTGTTTAAATTCAAAGGGCTTAATGTCAAATTATTTTACCATAATTATTGTGGTTTAGTCTGTCTTAGCAAAACTGTATCTGCTAATAATTGCTCATACTTCTGATTAGGGGGTTATGAATCTCAGGTATTAAAGATGACATTACTCATTCTTGAAACAAATGTGCCGCTGACCTAATGATTCCTGCAATTGTAATTATGAAATGACAATCAGGGACAAACTTCATACAGTTTTGTAGACAGTAATATCAACTTCATGATGTGCTAAACTCAAAAATACTAGCAACTGGACTGCAGTGCTAACGGAACTTTGGGACCAGTTCAGTGAGTGCATAAGCACCAATCTTCCAGGAATGTAAAAAAAAAAAAAAAATAAAGTTTATAAATCTTGCTGCTATTATTAGATAATGTATTGTTTCAAACTCGTAAAACAACATTTTGTGCTGTACACAAAAGAAGATAATGTAGGTAACCAAATTGGGGATTTTTTTTTTTTTTTTTCTTTTTTCTCCATACTATTAAAAGTCAATAGGGAGCAGCAACTGAAGGTGAAATATCCCTTTATGCTGCACAAAGTTTAAAAATAAAAATGGTCTTTAAATTAAATAGGTACACTGTCAATGACAGACATTTCTCGGACACAGTTAGACATCTGTATTGTAAAAGACATCAGTTGCAGACAACGGTTCTAGACAGTGAAACGGTGTTGAAGCAGCTCTCATTCCTCCCATGTGTCTCCATATATATTCTTCTTCCCTGTTTACCAAAAAAAGAAACATATATATAAATAATAATACATTAAAAATATATTAAAATGTTTTCTAAGCTATTATATGTAAACACTATTCTTACAGAAATACAGAAAATAATTTTTATATAACTTTAGATAACGTCAGATTTAGCAAGTTGATGAAAAAATTATCACAAGTGACAGAACAAACATATGTTAAAAAGATTCATTTTTGATCTTCATATTCATCAGAGAATCCTAAAAAAAGGTTTCCACAAAAATATTAAGCAGCACCACTGTTTTCAACATTGATAATAATAAGAAATGTTTCTTGCACACCAAATCAGCATATCAGAATGATTTCTGAAGGATCATGTGACACTGAAGACGAGTAACCAGTAAAGTTACCATCACAGGAATTTAAAACTCCCATAAATTCCTCATTTCTGCACAAAAAGGGGCTGCAGAATTATGAGGCGGCAGAAGTCAAACATAGTAACTTTTATTTTCTACATGTACATTGGAGTTTTTTAGTTTAGAGGACATAAAAAACGACTTGTCGCATCATGACCGATTTGGACGAGGGTTAGTAGATTGTCAGGTCTCACCTCTCTTGGCTGGAATGGTCTCATGTGAAGGCTTCAACAGTGTCTCTGTTTTTTCATAGTTTTCCCTGTTCTTACTCCGTAGCTCCTCATACAGCATGTGTTTCTTCTGTACATCCTCCTCAACGTAAGTTGGTTCTGCTGGATTGGAGGGATGTTGATTAAATACTAATTAAAATGACGTAAATAACATTTTAATTTCGGGGTGAACTACTCTTTTAATATTCAGAGTAAAAAGATTCTGCTCAAATTAAAGCTATACAGCCAGTCTGTGTCCCTTAAGACATCACTACTTGCTGCCTTCTCAGTGACAAACTAATAAAACCAAACATTAATCTCAGTTTTATTGTTCATGTTTGTTGTTGAATAAATCCACTTAAGCAACCCATATGCTACAATAAGTATTTTTGTTGTTGGAAAAAAAAAAAGACATAATTTGGAATTTATATTAGGAATTTCACTGTCAGGTTTTGAGAGAGGCTTCTTAAAGGGATAGTAAACCCCAAAATGAAAATTCTGTCATTAATTACTCACCCTCGTTGTCGTAAAAATATCTTAATTCGTGTTCCGAAGATGAACGAAGGTTTTATGGGTTTGGAACGACACGAGGGTGAGTAATTAATGACAGAATTTTCTTTTTTGGGTGAACTATCCTTTTAAGGCTTTACCAATTCATAATGTAGAGAGTGTGTAGAAACATGATAAATTAGAAAACTAGATGAGGTAAAATAAACACTGAATATGTGTTGATGTTTATTAATTCTGATGAAATGTCAGAAATTTCTCAAATGAGAGCAATCATGATTAATAATTGTGATAATTTTTGAGCAAAATTATTGTGATTATTCTTTTTTCTCCATACTATTAAAAGTCAATAGGGAGCAGCAACTGAAGGTGAAATATCCCTTTATGCTGCACAAAGTTTAAAAATAAAAATGGTCTTTAAATTAAATAGGTACACTGTCAATGACAGACATTTCTCGGACACAGTTAGACATCTGTATTGTAAAAGACATCAGTTGCAGACAACGGTTCTAGACAGTGAAACGGTGTTGAAGCAGCTCTCATTCCTCCCATGTGTCTCCATATATATTCTTCTTCCCTGTTTACCAAAAAAAGAAACATATATATAAATAATAATACATTAAAAATATATTAAAATGTTTTCTAAGCTATTATATGTAAACACTATTCTTACAGAAATACAGAAAATAATTTTTATATAACTTTAGATAACGTCAGATTTAGCAAGTTGATGAAAAAATTATCACAAGTGACAGAACAAACATATGTTAAAAAGATTCATTTTTGATCTTCATATTCATCAGAGAATCCTAAAAAAAGGTTTCCACAAAAATATTAAGCAGCACCACTGTTTTCAACATTGATAATAATAAGAAATGTTTCTTGCACACCAAATCAGCATATCAGAATGATTTCTGAAGGATCATGTGACACTGAAGACGAGTAACCAGTAAAGTTACCATCACAGGAATTTAAAACTCCCATAAATTCCTCATTTCTGCACAAAAAGGGGCTGCAGAATTATGAGGCGGCAGAAGTCAAACATAGTAACTTTTATTTTCTACATGTACATTGGAGTTTTTTAGTTTAGAGGACATAAAAAACGACTTGTCGCATCATGACCGATTTGGACGAGGGTTAGTAGATTGTCAGGTCTCACCTCTCTTGGCTGGAATGGTCTCATGTGAAGGCTTCAACAGTGTCTCTGTTTTTTCATAGTTTTCCCTGTTCTTACTCCGTAGCTCCTCATACAGCATGTGTTTCTTCTGTACATCCTCCTCAACGTAAGTTGGTTCTGCTGGATTGGAGGGATGTTGATTAAATACTAATTAAAATGACGTAAATAACATTTTAATTTCGGGGTGAACTACTCTTTTAATATTCAGAGTAAAAAGATTCTGCTCAAATTAAAGCTATACAGCCAGTCTGTGTCCCTTAAGACATCACTACTTGCTGCCTTCTCAGTGACAAACTAATAAAACCAAACATTAATCTCAGTTTTATTGTTCATGTTTGTTGTTGAATAAATCCACTTAAGCAACCCATATGCTACAATAAGTATTTTTGTTGTTGGAAAAAAAAAAAGACATAATTTGGAATTTATATTAGGAATTTCACTGTCAGGTTTTGAGAGAGGCTTCTTAAAGGGATAGTAAACCCCAAAATGAAAATTCTGTCATTAATTACTCACCCTCGTTGTCGTAAAAATATCTTAATTCGTGTTCCGAAGATGAACGAAGGTTTTATGGGTTTGGAACGACACGAGGGTGAGTAATTAATGACAGAATTTTCTTTTTTGGGTGAACTATCCTTTTAAGGCTTTACCAATTCATAATGTAGAGAGTGTGTAGAAACATGATAAATTAGAAAACTAGATGAGGTAAAATAAACACTGAATATGTGTTGATGTTTATTAATTCTGATGAAATGTCAGAAATTTCTCAAATGAGAGCAATCATGATTAATAATTGTGATAATTTTTGAGCAAAATTATTGTGATTATCAGTTTAACCATTATGATGAAGATGAAAGCACTTTAACTGTTTCCCCGCCAAACACAGAATTTTCCGGGTTTCTGCATTCTCACTGGTATATGCTCGGGGGGCGCTATTACGCATCTCCTGAATGAGTCCAGAATGTCCCGATCAAAAACACAAACGAGGAAGATGCAGAAATGAGCGATCATGTACTAAGCGGATGCATATGAAAAATAATGCGATCATCAACAATAAACAGCATTTAAAGGCAAACTGCAAAATGTTACAGAGTGAAATGTGGAGGTGAAATGTGAAATGATCCAGGAAGTGGCAACGGACTGTGCATGATTTGGGGGTGCTGATGGAAGCGATCTACTGAATCTTTGCTTTGATCATCGTATTGAATATGATCCAGATGTAGTATTTGATAAAAATACAATTTTCTCAGCTTTTTGCTCAAAAATTCTCAGCTTTTTTTAAAGAAACTTTCAAGTGTTGATAAAAAAATAATGCTTGAAGATAGAATAAAACTGATTTTTTTTTTTTATGGTAGAGGCTCTGTTCTTTATTTTGATGTATTGCATGTTCATATATGCATACAACAAAATATTCTGGGGGTCATGAAATTTTAGTGAATGTGATCAAAAATGCTGGCGGTGGCTGGCAACTTTTTTCAAAAACGCTGGCGGGGAATGAGTTAACTTACCTGTAATTTGAGTGTCATATTGAGCGGCTGAGGACATGGGGTCACTGTTAGTGAAATCGCTAGAATAGGACAATGACTGATTCCTCTGATCATCAAGTTGAAAGGCCGGCTCAAAATCAGCTTTGTTTGGATCACTCATTTCCGGGTGCTTATGGGTAAACCTGAAAAAAAAAAAGAAAAAGAAAAACTATGTGGGAAAAATCCTTTTGCGGGTAGTTACCAAACAGTGTTGACAACGATTTTGACCACTGTTTGAAAAAAAAAGAAGATATATCTTCTGTGGAACATAAAATAATCCTTTGAGAATTTGGGAATGCTAGTGGCACAGAAATGGCACACTACACTTTTAAATGTTGCATGTTCCTGTTTGCTCATGTTGTGCTCACACTGGTGGTTGGTGATGCTGTCTCTGTCTCAGTGCCTCCCCCAGTGGCGAATTCGCCAAGCTCTTAAATTTCTCCTGGCAAGTCTTCATGTATGACATCTTCCCTCCCAGGTAGCCAAAAACACCAGCAACTAACACATATTTAACACATCGATACATACTTTTAATATTCAGTCTATCAATTATTCTTCTCAGTAAGAGTAAATTGTACTCACAAGCAACTTTGGGCAAAGATCCAAATCTACCGGAGGCTGTAAGAGCACCTAAAACAAATAGATCAAAACATTTACACTACTGTTTAAAAGTTTGGAGTCTGTTCGTTTTTTTTAAAGGGGTCATATGATGCGATTTCAAGTTTTCTTTTCTCTTTGGAGTGTTACAAGCTCTTGGTGCATAAAAAAGATCTGTAAAGTTGCAAAGACTAAAGTCTCAAATCCAAAGAGATATTCTTTATAAAAGTTAAGAGTCAGCCACACCTACCTAAACGGCTCGTTCTCACACGCCCCCACATGTCTACGCAAATAATGATCTTTAAAATAGCATCATATGACCCCTTTAACATCAATTAGGCTCATCCAAGGCCACATTTATTTGATTAAATATACAGTAAAACAGTAATATTGTGAAAAATATTACTACAATTTAAAATAACTGTTTTGTATTTTAAGTTCCATTACTCATCTTAAACGTCACATGCTCCTTCGGAAATCATACTAATATGCTGATTTAATGCTCAAGAAATATTTCTTATTTTTATCAGTGTTGAATTGTGCTGTTGAATTTTTTTTTGTGTGTGAAAACTGGTAAAAAATTCAGAACACCATTTATTTGAAATATGTTATCCTATACATAAAGTATAAACCCACCTCTAGAGATAAGGAACTGAGTGAAGGCCATGCTGATGGCAGATATAGGAAGAGCTGTAGGAACGTAAAGAAAGAAACATCACTCACTTATGATATCAACAAAACCACAAGCAAGATAATGAAAATAAGCACTGGACATCCACTCACATCTGTACCAGAAGCTTTCCTGATTACACTCCCTGAACACTCTCCTCTCCTCCTCTGTGGGGATGTAGTCAATTCCTACGGGACCCTACACACACACACACACACACACACACACAC